CAACAGGGTGAAACCCCATCTCTACTAAAAATACAAAATTAGCCATATGTGGTGTTGAGGGCCTGTAATCTCAGCTACTTGGGAGGCTGAGGCAGGAGAATCGCGTGAACCCAGGAGGCAGAGGTTGCAGTGAGCTGAGATCATGCCACTGCACTCTAGCCTGGGTGACAGAGCAAGACTCCGTCTCATCTTTACTAAAAATACAAAAATTATCCGGGCCTGGTGGCACGCACCTATAGTCCCAGCTGCGCAGGAGATAGAGGTCGCAGTGAGCCAAGATCGCACCACTGCACTCCAGCCTGGCCGACAGAGCAAGACTCCGTGTCAAAAAAAAAAAAAAAAAAAAGAGGCTTTGAGGCCAGATGCAATGGCTCACGCCTATAATCCCAACACTTTTTGGGAGGCTGAGGTAGGAGGATCGCTTGAGCCCAGGAGTTTGAGATCAGCCTGGGCAACATAGGGAGACCCTGTCTCTACCAAAAAAAAAAAAAGTAATCGTGGTGGGGGGTGGCACGTGCCTTGTAATCCCAGCTACTCAGGAGGCTGAAATGGGAGGGTCACTTGAGCCCAGAAGTTTGAGGCTGCAGCAAGCCATGATCGTGCCACTGCCCTCCAGTCTGGGTGACCAGAGTGAGACCCTGTCTCAAAAAAGAAAGAAAGAAACTTTGGCCAGAATTATATCATTACTTTGAGAAAAGCACCCAAGGTATTGGTTTTGCGGATTGTGCAGTCATTAAGAAAAGGAACAGGCACTTCTGCTTCTTGCCAAAATCAAGTAACAGGGACCAAATGTAACTTCCCATCTGAAACAGCCAAAAAATCCCAGACTATATAAGTGAAACAAAGGTTTTAAAGACACTGGATATCAGGCAATGAAGGACAGTGGCCCCTGAGAAATGGGAAATAAACAAGGTGAGCCCTATGACTGTCCCAGCTCACTGCTGTGATAAGGGATAGAGTTTCCAGGCCATAGCACAGGGAGGAGGAATTGAGGTAAAACCTGGTAGACTTCTTGAATCGAAGAAATTTTTTTGTCATAATATTGTACTATAGTTTTGCAATATGTTATTATGGGGGAAACTTGGCAAAAGGATACACTAATTTCTCTGTGTTCTTTTTTTTCCTCAATGGGAACGTGGGGGTGGGGACAGGGTCTTGCTCTGTTGCCCAGGCTGGAGTACAGTGGTATGATCACACCCACTGCCGCCTTGACCTCCTGGGCTCAATCGATCTTCCCACCTCAGCCTCCTGAGTAGCTGGGACTACAGGTGTGTGCCATTGGGAAAAATACACTGTATTAACACCAGTGGGAAGAAAGCTGGGGTAGCTATATAAATATCAATTTAGATTCCAGAGCAAAAAAATATGGAAAAGAAGGCCATTCCATAATGATAAAGCAGTCAATTAATCAAGAGAACATAACAATGCTAAACACTTATGTACCTGGCCAGGCGTGGTGGCTCACACCTGTAATCCCAGCACTTTGGGAGGCCAAGATAGGTGGATCACCTGAGGTCAGGAGTTCGAGACCAGCCTGGCCAACATGGTGAAACCCCGTCTGTGCTAAAAATACAAAAATTAGCCAGGTGTGGTGGTGCATACCTGTAGTCCCAGCTACTTGGGAGGCTGAGGCAGGAGAATCGCTTGAATCCAGGAGGCAGAGGTTGCAGTGAGCCAATATCACGCCACTGCACTCCAGCCTGGGTGACAGAGTGAGACTCAGTCTCAAAAAAATAAAAATAAAAAATAAGACACTTATGTACCTAAAACAGAGCTTCAAATTACATGAAACAAAGCCAACAGAATTGCAGGGAGAAATAGGTTTCAATTCCCCTCTTTCAAAAGCTGATAGAGCAAGTAAGCTAAAAAAAAGTCGACAAGGATTTAGTTGATGTGAACAACATTGTATTAGTTTGCTAGGGCTACCATAACTAAATACCACAGACTGAATGGCTTAAACAACAGAAATTTATTTTCTTCTAATTCTAAAGCTGGAAGTTCAAGATCAAGGTGTCAGCAGTTTTTGTTCCTCCTGAGCCCTTGCTCCTTGGCTTACAGATGGCCACCTTCTTGCTGTGTCCTCACATGGCCTTTTTTTCTGTGCACTTGTGCCCCTGCTGTGTCTTTCTCTTCTTTTTTATTGGGGGGGGCGGGGGTTCAAGTTCTCACTCTGTCACCCAGGCTGAAGTGCAGTAGTGCGATCATAGCTCACTGTAACCTTAAAGTGTTGGGCTCAAGTGATCCTCCCACCTCAGCCTCCTGGGAAGCAGGGACCAGAGGTGCACACCCCAATGCCCAGCTAATTAAAAAAAAATTTTTTTTTGTAGAGATGGGACCTCACTATGTTGCCCAGGTTGGTCTTCAACCCTTGGCCTCAAGTGGTTCTCCCACCTCGCTGCCTAAGGTGCTAGGATTACAGGCATGAGTCATTCCACCCCACCTCTTCCTCTTCTTTTTTTTTTTTTTGAGTTTTGCTCTTGTCGACCAGGCTGGAGTGCAATAGCGCGATCTTGGCTCACTGCAACCTCTGCCTCCCAGGTTCAAGTGATTCTCCTGTCTTGGCCTCCTATAGTGCTGGGATTACAGGTGTGAGCCACCACACCCAGCCTTCCTCTTCTTATAAGAACACCAATCCTATTGGATTAGGACCCCACTATTATGAACTCATTTAACCTTAATTTCCTCTTTTAAAGGCCCTATCTCAAAATACAGTCACACTGGGGTTAAGGCTTCAACATATAATTTTTGGGGAAACACAATTTAGTCCATAACAAACACTACTGACCAGCACTGGCTGACCTGGGTACCTGCAGGCCACCAGGATTGCTAAAACATCTGTCAATGTTGTGACTGAACCTTCTGAAATGAAACTAGCCTTCATTTTGGATTCTTGGAGTGTTTATTCTTGTGTAATCTTATCAGTGTCCTTGAACTTGGGTCATTCAACAAGTACTGCCAAGGGACAAAGATATTTGCTTTGATACTTTAATAGTTTCAATGGTGATGACAGTGATAACAGGAACAGCTAATAAGTACTACAGTCACTACGCATCAGGCATTCTGTAAAGTTTGATGCAGATTAGTTCACAGAATCTTACAAGAACCCTATGATGAAAATACTTTTAGAAAATACTAAAGATGTTAAAGCATATAATCAGTTGACTTAAAGTTAAAAAAAATACTAAAGATGAAACTGAGACACCAAGAGGAGAAACAGCTTGTCCAAGGTCGCACAGTTATTAATACATAGCAGGACCTGAGGATATTCATACACTCTAACTAGGTAAGTGGTCAAGTATTAAGGCATTCTGGGTAACTTCAGAATTGATTTTCTCATACCACATGATAGTAGGCAACATTTACATGGGTGACAAAAACTATTGCAAGTTATTTTATACTATATACAGAGAGGACTACATATGTATATTATATCAATAATGACACAGCAAAGACAACATGTGGTTCACTTGTCCAGAAAAAATGAAAATTATTTGGAGTATATTCGAAATTTCGTTTACAATCATTTTATAAATTGAATCAAAATTTATTAAATATGGATGATGTAAACCGACAGATATTACACTTTTTTTTTTCACCTACGATGGGTGGTGAAACCCATGGTGGGTCAGTGTATATGTGCTTAGAATAAATGTGTAAACCTTGAGAAAATTTTTACAAAGTGCATTTCTGATTGAAACCAAAAGTAGACATTTCAGAATTACTTGCTTGGTGGAAATTGCTTTTTATTTGTTTAATTAATTACACTTTAAAAATAATTGCTGACCATACTGAATTGCAATCCCTACCAAGGGAGCTACCAGGGAGGAAGAGAGGTGTCTGTCACTGTCTATGGCATCTTAAAGGTGGCCTGCACTGCTCAGTGTTTGTTTATGGGTTCATACTGATCTCTTTGCTTAACTATTTTCCTATTTGAGAAATAAGCATACTTAGCGCAGAATGTCCTCATCAGAGTAAATCTTTAATAATAAAATTATACGACTATTATTTGATTTAATCATGTTTTTCCACTCATCTGATCCTTGGGTTTGGAAATGGAAAATATATCAGCCAGCACTTTTTTTTTTTTTTTTTGACGGAGTCTCGCTCTGTCACCCAGGCTGGAGTGCAATGGCGCTATCTTGGCTCACTGCAAATTCCGCCTCCCGAGTTCACGCATTCTCCTGCCTCAGCCTCCCAAGTAGCTGGGACTACAGGCGTCCGCCACCACACCCGGCTAATTTTTTTTGTTTTTGTTTTTTTTTTTTTTTTTTTTTTTTGAGATGGAGTCTGGCTCTGTCACCCAGGCTGGAGTGCAGTGGCCGGATCTCAGCTCCCTGCAAGCTCCGCCTCCCGGGTTTACGCCATTCTCCTGCCTCAGCCTCCCGAGTAGCTGGGACTACAGGCGCCCGCCACCTCGTCCGGCTAGTTTTTTTGTATTTTTTAGTAGAGACGGGGTTTCACCGTGTTCGCCAGGATGGTCTCGATCTCCTGACCTCGTGATCCACCCATCTCGGCCTCCCAAAGTGCTGGGATTACAGGCTTGAGCCACCGCGCCCGGCCTTTTTTTGTATTTTTAATAGAGACGGGGTTTCACTTGTGTTAGCCAGGATAGTCTTGATCTCCTGACCTCGTGATCCACCCGCCTCGGCCTCCCAAAGTCAGCCTGCACTTTTGTTTAATTTTATGAAAATATGGAGGTACCCTATATAACATATAATGAACTTAAAAAAAATAAACAAGCCAGGCGTGGTGGGTCACGCCTGTAATCCTAGCACTTTGTGAGGCCGAGGCAGGCGTATTGCTTGAGCTCAGGAGTTCAAGACCAGCCTGGGCAACACGGTGAAACCCCGTCTCTACTAAAATACAAAATATTAACCGGACGTGGCGGCGGGCGCCTGTAGTCCCAGCTACTCAGGAGGCTGGCGCAGGAGAATCGCTTGAACCGGGGAGGTGGAAGTTGCAGTGAGCAGAGATCTCGCCACCGCACTCCAGCCTGGGCAACGGAGTCTCTCCAAAAAAAGAACTCTGTCGGTTAAATGGTGTGTTTTTCATAGGGATAGCACATTGAAATTACTACTCAATGAATTTTGCTAAGAAAGACTTTTTAATAAGAACAGTTAAAAAGTCATGGTTAAATTCACTTAGTTGTAAATTTCCTACACCTCTCCCCTCCAGGGTTGTATATTAAAAATCCCTTCCAGGAATGTACAGAAGTGGAAACTTCCACATTCTACTTTTATTAAGGATTTCGATAGAACAATTACTGTTGCCTCATCACTAATTTAAAAGCAACATTAAGTTCCTGGTTTGTAGCCGGTCTCAGGCCCACACACCTCCCATTGGCCACCCCCTGTTCATAGCTATTGGTCTGTCAGTGGCTCCGTGGTGAAGTAGAGCCTATCAATGCCTGGGGTATCCCAAGGCCCGCCTTCCACTGCACTGCCATTGGCAGATCTCGCTGCCTGTTGGGGGACCTGGAGCGAATCGAGGCTCCCTGGGTTGGCAGAGAGGAGCTGGTGGTTGAGGGCCCTGAGTCAAACCTGTGTTCCCGGCCTCAGAGAAATGTGCACGCATGGTCATCTCCCCGGAAATGAACCGCTGAGAGGGCGGCGGTGGGATGGGGTCCCAGAGATGGCGCTCTCCAGGCCGCAGCAGGGGCCGGCGAGGTCGGCGGCTTTGGGAAATGAGAGTGGCACGTTTTAGAGGAGGTCTCCAGGCAGGCAGGACTGCTGGGTGGATCTGGGATTCCTTAAGGAGGTGCCCATGGCCGCACCCTTGTTAAACACTTTTTATCTAACGAAGCACTCTCTCCTTTTCCCCTACGGTGAGGGCAGCCTGAACCTTAATGTCTTCAGCTATAAAAGTAGCACTACAACGGCAGTCGGCGAACACTTGAGATTTAAAAAAATTTTCAGGCATGTTTCTGAGACTTTAAAATGAACAACAATAAAAATCAACAAGTACTTTGATAGCTTTACATTTTTTTCCAGATGGATAATTACAAGGGGGATGTCAGAGAACTATAATCAGCTAGTTTGGGTTTTAATTTTTGTTTTAATACATGGTACTTCTAATGGTTTAAATATGGTGGTGATGATAATGATAAAAAATCAAGAAGGTCAGGCGCTGTGACATGCGTCTGTGGTCCCAGCTTTCTGGGAGGATGGCTTGAGCCCAGGAGGTCGAGGCTGCAGTGAGCTGTGATTGCACCACTGCACTCCAGCCTGGGTGACAGAGCGAGACCCTGTCGCAAAACCAAACCAAACCTAAATCACTTTAAAGGCCTTCATGCTTTAAAGTGTCAGGTACCTGTAAGGTACTTGGCTGAAGTGCCAGTTGAGATGGGTGTGAAGTGAGTCTATGAGTTCTTGGGGGAGAAAGCATTGCCTTTGAGTGGGCTGTGTCCCCTACCCTTCCCCTCCTTCCCCCTATCCTGCGAAAGCAACGAGCTTTTGCTGGCATTTTTCTCATCTTTTTATAAACGTTGAACGATGGAGCCAGAAGTCTGTCTTCAAATAATGCCTAGGAATTAAAGTTTTTAAACAATTTAAGTGAATTGAAATATAAAATGCACTCCCCTATTCCCCTCCCCAAAGCCCCTCACTGAGCTCCAAACAGGAGTTGTTCCTGACCCCACTGGCACTGAGGTGGTTGCCAGGACTCCTGCAGTGGGAGATGGAGATTCAGGGCCTAGGGATTTAATTTCAGAAAAAAAGAATTTTTTCAAAATAATTTCCCCAACCAGTAAGAATTTGTACAAACACAAACGTTTAGAATTATGTTTGAGGCCTTCTTTTTTTTTTCTTTTGCCACACAGTTCTTACTCTGGTATATTACACATAAAGCAAAATATATCCATTTTCAGTATAGAGTTCAATGAGGCCAGGCAAGGTGGCTCATGCCTGTAATCCCAGCACTTTGGGAGGCCGAGGTGGGAGGATCACTTGAGCCCAGGAATTCAAGACCAGCCTGGGCAACATAGTGAGACTCCATCTCTACAGAAAATATTAAAAATTAGCTGAGTGTGGTGGTGTGTGCCTGTAATCCCAGCTACTTGGGAGGCCGAGGTGGGAGAATTACTTAAGCCCAGGAAGTCAAGGCTGCAGTGAGCCATGATTGTGCCACTTCACTCCAGTCTGGGTGACAAAGCCAGACTCTGTCTCAAAAATAAAAAAAGATAATAATAAAAATAGAGTTCAATGAGTTCTGACAAATGCATACAGAACATTCCAATCACCTGCAAAAGTTCTTTAATGTACTTCCCAGTCATTCTCCCTCAAAACAACATCTAATGTGATTTCCTTCACTATAGATTAGTTTTGCCTGGTTTAGATTTCATACAGGTGGAATACAGTATTTCTCCTTTGTGTCTGGCTTTTTTCATTTGGCCCCATGTCTATTAGATTCATCTATGCTCTTCCTATATGTCAGTAATTTGTTCCCTTTCATTGCTGAGTAGTATTCCATAACCCCGTTGTTGTATTTCTTTGTCAGTTCTGTTTCTGGACACCTGGGCTGTTTCCAGTTTTTTGATATTATGAAAAAGCTAATCTGAACATTTGCATACAAGTTTTTGTGCAGATATACTGCAATAGTAGCATGTTGTAGCTGGCTCACCAGAGCAGATTTTGTGCATCTCTTTTAAATCTGGTTCAGCGACTGTCACATCAGTAGCCTGAAATAAGCCACGGGGACAGTACAAATTAGAGCCATTTTCTTCCTGGAGAGTTGGTTGTTAAACATTTACCAGCACACCATTGGACACGTGTTTTCATTTCTCTAGAGTAAATACCTAGGAGTGAGATTGCTGAATTGCATGGCAGGTCTATGTTTAATTTTATATGAAACTGCCAAACTGTTTCTAAAGTGCTTGTGCCACTTTACACTCCCAATAGCAATGTATGAAAGTTCCAATTGCTCTACATTCTCATCAATACGTAGTATTGTCAGTCTTTTTAATTTTAGCCATTGGAGTTGGGCATGGTGGCTCACGCTTATAATCCTAGAGTGTTGGGAGAACGAGACCAGGAGCTTGACACCAGCCTGGGCAACATAGTGAGATTCTGTCTCTCTAAAAATTTTATTTAGCCATTAAATGGTGAAGATTCAAATAGAAAAGTGGAGTTGGGGCCAGGTGTGGTGGCTCAAGCCTGTAATCCCAGCACTTTGGGAGGCCGAGGTGGGCAGATCACTTAAGGTCAGGAGTTTGAGACCAGCCTGGCCAACATAGTGAAATCCTGTCTCTACTAAAACTATAAAAATTAGCCGGGCATGGTGGTGGGCGCCTGTGGTTCCAGCTACTCAAGAGGCTGAGTTACCCAACTGATTTTTTTTTTTTTTTTTGCATTTTTACTAGAGACGGGGTTTCGCCATGTTGGCCAGGCTGGTCTTGAATTCCTGGCCTCAAGTGATCCGCCTGCCTTGGCCCCCCAAAGTTCTGGGATTACAGGCATCAGTCACCACACCCGGCAAGAATGGAAAGTTTTATTACTGAATAAGCACTGCACCAGACTGTGATGCACATCACAAACAATCGGCTAAAGAGGTTTCAAAGACAAAAGAAATCTCATCCGTTTATGTAACAGGCAGATACAGCCCATTACAAACATATTCTCAAACAGTAACTTGTGCTCAAGTAAGAAACTTGACAGCACCATTTGGTACACATACTTCATCCCAAATTCACCTAGTAATTGGTGCGGCTATCTGTGTTAGTTAATTGCCTTTATCCAAAGGAAAACGAAAACTCGTATCTTTATGACAAGCAGGTAATAACTTGAAGCCAGGCACGCAGATCAAATTCCCATGAAGACGGGAAGACAGGGGTGCTATTTTCATTGATGTTTACATTTCATCAAAGAGATGGCTACGAGGCTCTTAAGAAAAACATTCCGGGGTTGTAAAACTGGCAAGAGATCTAGCATTTTAAAAGACTTACATCTCAAAGGGACGGAGAAAATTTTACAGTTACAAGTTTTCTAAAGGAAATGCTCTAAGACAGACGTCTCTCTCTTTTGACACCAGGGAAAATTCGATTTTTAAAAATTTGTGTTTACCCCACAGTACCTCCACACATTGACTGGCATCGTGCTCCATTCACCGCACTTCCCTCTTCACCTGGCCACCTGTGACTAGTTTTTCAAAATCCTAATCAACCCCATTCCTAAAGGAAGCCTCCCAGACAGAAGGCCGCCCCTCCTAGGGCCAGCCCCCCAACCCCCACCACACCAGAGACCCGCTGTCCTCAAAGGCTATGAACTACAGTCTCCTAGAGCCGGTGAACATCGCCGATCATTTGTTCTGATTCCAACCCATTTCAAAGATGGTAAAACTGAGACACAGGAAAATAATAAAAGGGTGCTTAGGGCACTGGCCCAAAAAGGGTACTTAAGGATTTCTCCGTCCAGATGCCAGAGCCCTAAGGTCAGCCCCAAATGACCTTAAAAAGTCCTGCTTTATTCGTCTATGCCACTATTGAGGTTAAAGCCCCAGGCACGCAGGTCTTGCCCCAACTGCGCCTGCGCGAGTCAGGACTTGCGCTTGCCCCCGATCTTGACGTTTCAGGCTGCCCCTCCTAATCCGGAACACGACTCACATTCCGTTGGTCTTGCCTTGACAGACGTGACCTTGATCCAATAAGAGTGGAAGGATGAGTACCGCAGAGCCAATAACGAGAGTCCGAGAGACGGCGAAGGCGGACTCTGTGAGGAAACAAGAAGACAGGCCCAAGATGGAGGCGGCGGTGGCTGTAGCGGCGTGACAGGTGAGGGCGGACCCGGGAGGGCTCGGTTTCTGGAGCGGCTGCCGGGCACGGGCAGGGCGCCCGGACCGAAAGCTCAGCTCCAGGATGGCTGCGCCCGGGCCCCGGCGTCCCCCGCCCGGAACCGGAGGAGTGGTTTGACCCGGGGCGAGACCATCGTCGACAGCGGGGGTGGGGTGGGTAACAGGAATAGGCGGGCAAGGCTGCGGGTGATGGTTTCGCCCGCTGCTAGTGGTGGTGCGCCTGCGCAGAGCCGGAAGCCCTTTGGTAGGCGGGACCCTACCGACTGGTGCCGGGATTCCGTCTTAAACCCCCTAAGGTGTCCAATGACCTTTCCTTACCAACTGCGGGGAGTGTGTGGAAACGGGGTTCACTCCCCGGTTTCCTTATTCTGGATCAGTGTCTGACCCCTTGGGGGGGGGGAGAATGTCAGGATTCTCGCCTCTGTAACCGCCTTCCATGATCCCCCATTCAGTTTACACCAGTAATGTGCCTGTGACCCCCTCACTGGTTGTCAAGGAGAATTTTGGAGCTCCCTCTTTACCTCCATTTTTCTCCCCGCAACACCATACCTTCCTTCTCCTTTTGCTATGACAGTGTCTGGTGATCCACCATTACCTCCCCAGTTTGGCTCGATGTCTGGTCATTTCCATTTCCACCCTTCTCCCCATTACAGTCCCTAGTGACACCTGTTACATCTCCCTTCCGCATAGTATGTAGTGACCCCCACCCATGAACTCCTCATCATAAAGTCTTGGGACTTCCATTAGCCACCTAACACGGTGTCTGTGGTCCTAACATCAACATTACACCCCAGGGCTTAGGGATGTCCACAGTGCCCTTTAAGGATATGTTTGGTGCAACCTCCATCTTCCCCACACTAAGGGCAATATCTCATGATCCTCTCTTTCCCATCACCCTGCCTGCGACTCCTCCCTCACCAGAGTATCTGGCACTTCCCCCGTTCTCTGTTAAAAAGGCAGGACACTTTGGGAGGCTGAGGCGGTGGATCACCTGAGGTCAGGAGTTTGAGACCAGCCTGGCCAACATGGTGAAACCCCATCTCAACTAAAAATACAAAAAATTAGCCAGGCGTGGTGGCACACGCCTGTAGTTCCAGCTACTAAGGAGGCTGAGGCGGGAGAATGGTTTGAACCTGGGAGGTGGAGGTTGCAGTGAGCTGAGACTGTGCCATTGCACTCCAACCTGGGCAACAAGAGCGAAACTCTGTCAAAGAAAAAAAAAAAAAAAAACCAGGACATTCTGTTCGTGCTTCTTATGTACCTGACAGCTCAGTGCAGTGTGTATTGACTTCCCCATTAGTCCCCAGCACAGAGTCTTCTGTGCTCCTGTACCCTCCAGGACAGTATGCTCTGTCCCCCTTCCTTTTTCTCTCCCCCCCAACCCTGTGCAGTGAAGCTGATGCCTTGGCACTCATGAGTGAGAAAAGCAACAGGAGGGTCTGAGCAGAGGAGGAACTAGAAGGACTTCAGATGTGAGCAGGATCTCTTGGGCTGTCATGTGAAAATTAGGCTGCAGGGGGCGACAGGAGCCTGGACTTTGAATTTTATTTTGTCCCCTGCCACTTTGCTTCCAGACTCTCATTATTGGACCTCTGAATTCTGTCTGCCTTCTTGTAGGAGCCCCATGGCACCTGCCCAGCCCCACCTCAGCCCATCTTGACAAAATCTAAGGCTCCATGGAGCCACCACGGGGCCCCCCTGCCAATGGGGCCGAGCCGTCCCGGGCAGTGGGCACCGTCAAAGTGTACCTGCCCAACAAGCAACGCACGGTGGTGAGTCATGGAAGCGAAATGGCAGGGGCTGTGGATGGACCCAGTTGTAACTCTGGGATCAAAAGGGTGACAACGGTTGGGGGAGGCCTTTGCAAAAGGATGGGAACATCAACTGTGGCCTCTGTTGGGCAATGAGGACCCCTACATCTGCACATACACACAGGTGACTGTCCGGGATGGCATGAGTGTCTACGACTCTCTAGACAAGGCCCTGAAGGTGCGGGGTCTAAATCAGGACTGCTGTGTGGTCTACCGACTCATCAAGGGGTGAGTGTGGCAGCCCCACGCCCACCCACTGGGTGCCCCACCTCCCATCCCCTCCTCAGTCATTTGATTCCTTCTGTTCTTTATCACAGAGTCTTCCATTAGTCTTCCCTTAGTCTTTAGTCCCCCCTTATCTGCAGGGTACGTGTTCCAAGACCCCCAGTGGATGCTTGAAACCACAGATAGCACCGAACCCAATTGCTATCAGCCGGAACATGTTTCTATTCTTGTCTTCTACCCATAAATGTAATGCCTTTTCCGTCTTAACTAAGCATGTATCATGCACTCCGGCCATCGCTTTTGCAATATGAGGTATGACGTCAAAACTAGCATGAATTTATTTTTCCTTCTTCACAGTTCCAAAGATGGAAGATTCGGCCGGGCACGGTGGCTCACGCCTGTAATCCCAGCACTTTGGGAGGCCGAGACGGGTGGATCACAAGGTCAGGAGATCGAAACCATCCAGGCCGACACGGTGAAACCCCGTCTCTACTAAAAATACAAAAAAAAAAAAATTAGCCGGGCGTAGTGGCGGGCGCCTGTAGTCCCAGCTACTCGGGAGGCTGAGGCAGAAGAATGGCGAGAACTCAGGAGGCGGAGCTTGCAGTGAGCCGAGATCGCGCCACTGCACTCCAGCCTGGGCGACTGAGCGAGACTCTGTCTCAAAAAAAAAAAAAAAAAGATGGAAGATTCTTTCTTACAGTAGATCTCAACAACCTCAGCATATGATTTTCTTTGCTTTCAAGTCAAGAACTTTTACCTTTTTGCCTAAAGGAAGCACTTTACAGCTTCTCTTTGGCATGTCCGAATTGCCACCAACACTACTCCTGTGCTTTGGGGCCATTATTAAGTAAAATGGCGATCACTTGAAGACAGCCACTATGATATTGAGTCAGTTGTTTGATAACTGAGCAGGCTACTAAGTGATGGGTGGTAGCATAAACAGTGTGAATCTTCTAGATAAAGGGATGATTCACATCCTGGGTGGGATGGTGCAGGATTTCATCATGCTACTCAGAATGCACGCAATTTAAAACTTATGAATTGTTTATTTTTGCAATTTTCAATTTAATACTTTCCCACCCGGTTGACCACAGGTAACTGAAACCGTGGAGAGTGAAACCACAGATAAGGGAGGACTACTGTAGTTCAAGTAATCTATGAGTTCATCCATCTTTTGTTTTGTTACTTCATTGGTTCATTGGCCTGTAAGGTCAACCAACTCATTCTCCCCTGACCCCCAAGTCCTCACCCTGGTCCATCACTTCCTCCCAGATTTCATCTATTTTGTCCTTTCACGATGTCATGACTTCATCAGCTCTCTTCTTCCTCATTTTCCCCATTCTTTGTCTGCTGAGTTGGGTCTTGCTGACCTTATTTATTCCTCTCTCGTGGGGTTCCTTAATTTTTTATGCAGTTCACACAGTGCACTTTGTTGTTTCAGTGCCTCCTCAGCCCCCTTTTCGGGGGCTGGCTTAGCGCTTCTAAGATGTAGTTGTTTAGTTTCATTTGCTTCTCCCCTTCCGTTTCAGAGCATGGACTCTTCACACCGTCCTGCCTCTCATTACCCTTGTGGCCCAGGGCCAGTCATTTTATCCCTCTGAGCCTGTTTCCCATCTGTAAAGTGGGGGCAAGGATAATGACTAATTCCTAGAGTTGCTATGATGAGAATTAAACTTGCCAGACATGACCCTGTGGGTAGCAGGCTTGGAGGGACTTGTGGCGGTTCCCTGCCTCACCATGGCCCCTACCCACCCTCCCACTCATTCCTTTCCATGCCCCCTGCAGACGAAAGACAGTCACTGCCTGGGACACAGCCATTGCTCCCCTGGATGGCGAGGAGCTCATTGTCGAGGTCCTTGAAGATGTCCCGCTGACCATGCACAATTTTGTGAGTGCAGGGTGGATGGTGGGGGCGGATCATGGTGGGGAGTATCCTTGGCCAGGTCTCAAACTTCCCTGCTCTGCGGCATCAGGTACGGAAGACCTTCTTCAGCCTGGCATTCTGTGACTTCTGCCTTAAGTTTCTGTTCCATGGCTTCCGTTGCCAAACCTGTGGCTACAAGTTCCACCAGCATTGTTCCTCCAAGGTCCCCACAGTCTGTGTTGACATGAGTACCAACCGCCAACAGTGAGCCCAGCCTGGGGTGGGTGGGGGGATGGGGAGCACAGAGACCCAGCCACAAGGCCCTTACAGACAGCTGACCTGTGTCCCCTTACTTTATACCCTTCATGCCCTCAAGGTTCTACCACAGTGTCCAGGATTTGTCCGGAGGCTCCAGACAACATGAGGCTCCCTCGAACCGCCCCCTGAATGAGTTGCTAACCCCCCAGGGTCCCAGGTAGGGGTGCCTTAGCTGAAGGGCTACTGGGGGAGAAAAAGATCTGGGGACTCTTGTAGACCACAAGCCATACTTTATTCATTTGTTTACTTGACAAACATTTATTGAGCACCTACAAGTGTGAGTAAGGGCATGAAACTGGGACCTTGGGCAAGTCACCTGATTTCTCTGGGCCTCAGTTTTCTCATCTGTAAAGAGGGGATAATGATACTTTCTACCATATAAGGTTCTGCTGAGGATTAAATGAGTTAAGACATGTTCAGTGCCTAGAACAGGATCTGGTATAGTGTAAATAATCAGTTATTTTTATTATTAATTATAAATATATTTATAAGCATCTAACTACTTTGCTAATTCTTCTAGTATAACCATACTGAAGCCTTTCCATTTTGAAATATGTATTATTTTATCATAAATTACTTCCCTTTTATTGCTTCTTTATGTTAAATATTATACAAAACTATAGCTATATTAAAATATATTATTGCTCTAATGTATATTTTATAATGTGCATATTTTATGGTATATTTATGTTATTGTATCATGTTGTATTACATAATGTTATATAATGTAGAACATCATACATGTTTATATGATACATAAAATAAAGTTAGGGTATTATATTATTTTAAATTATGAGTGTATATGCATTAATTACCTTTGAGTTTCATTTCAGGATAGTGAAGGGAACATTAACATATTTTTGTAACTACAATATGTTTAGCATATATCGTGTATAACGTATATATAACATAGAATATGGTAATATGTATACTTTAAAACATTGCTATTTTAATATAGATGATATGTATTATATAACATTTGAAGAGTACATGTAATTATAATATATAATTATAAAATATGGTACATTCCCCTTTCCCCACTATCTGTGTGGCTTGCTATCCTGCCTGTAGGAGTTTACTCCAATGTCACCTCCTTCTCAGAGAATCCTTTCCTGACACTTTCTAGGAACACTTTGTGTCTCCTTATTTTGCTTTACTATTTTTCTTTATTGCACCTATCACCATCAGGCATATTATATATTTGTTTTTTATTTCAG